ATTATTTTTACTTGTATTAGCATTATTAGTATTAAATGAATGTTGCGAATGTGGTATTTTTGGAGCATAAGAATATGGCGAGTATGGGGTATGTGGAGTTTGTGGGGTATGTGGAGTTTGTGGAGTATGTGGAGTTTGTGGTATAGGTGGATAATACGCTACGTTGTATTCTTCTTGATTTTGATTATTGTAATAAGGAAATGTATTTTGTCTATGTGGCTGTATTTGTATAAGAGGATTTGTTTTTGCAGCAGGCATTGATTTATGATTTATTTTAGCTGGCTCATTATTATTAGCATTATTGTTGTTAAAGTAGCTGGATGATGTAGTGTTGATTGGAGCTGTAGGATAAGGAGATGAGGGTGTGATAGGAGTTGAAGGAAAAGAAGTCATATTTGTCGACGCCGACGATAATGACGATGATGTTGAACTTGAAGATAAGGTCGATGATATAGATAAAGATGATGAAGCATTAACAATACCGTTTCGTTGGCCTTTGCTTTTTAATGAGTCAGTTCTTGCATTATAATTATTGTCATAATCGCTACTATTTGAAGGGCTCCTTTTCATGTATACGTCATGTGGTGGTAAATTTGGTGATAGTCTATTTAATTCATTATCATTAAAGTTATTATTAGTATTGTTATTATTGACATTGATATTAAAGTTATTATTATTGTTATTCATAATGTTCATTTGATTTATACGTTGTTGTTGTAATCTTGAAAAAGAAGGAGACGGTGATGATGAGAGTGGCGGTGTTGATGGATAATTGTAATTTATCTGTGATGTTGGTGAAGTATTATTACTACTACCATTCTTATTATTATTATTATTATTTCCATTATTAGTTAAATTATTGGCAAATGCATCGTCTATATTATAATAATCAATATTATTATCTATAGATGATGTTGTCAAAGGTGATAATGAATTAGGATATTCATTGTTAATTTGGTTAATTTGATGATGATGAAGTTGATGATGATTTTTATTACGAATATTTTCATGAGATTTATGACTGTAAAACCCTGAATCTCCACGCGACATTTTTTTTTTATATTAATATAAATTGATTTTTTTTTTTTTTTTTAGAGCTCCAACTTTATTTTTTAAAACGAATGAATCAAATTCTAAATAAAGGTGAAGCGAGGGAAGAATGTTAAAAAAAAATTTTTTTTAATTATATAAAACTTATTGGTTTTAATTCACTTACTGTAATAAAAAATAATCAATTATCAACCATAAATTAATGAAAGAATTAGTTAGAAAAACAAAGATGGTGATGTACTCTTTTAAATTATTTTTTCTAATTCAATTAGAAATTCTAAAAAAAAATAATAAATAGTAGTGATAAAGTAAAAAAAGGTTTAAATAATGGAGGAATTTTTTTTTATATAATTAAAATTTATTTAAAATTTGACGCTATGATACTAAAAAAGACATGAAATAAAAGGCTTTCATAAAGAGTGCTACACTACATTTCCCTCGTGAAACAAACAATGATCAATTTAATATTAATATTAATTGGTGATATCCCTAAAAAAAGTAAAAGGTCACAACTTATCATTACTATATAGATTTACTTTTGAGCGATACAGTAATATGAGCAATAATGGTAATATCTATTCAAATAAATTATTGTTTTGATGTCATAATTTTGCACAAATTTTGTATCAAGTTTAACATAATTTTAGAAGAATCTTTGAATAAAAAAAGTTAAAAAAAAAGAGAAAAATGGACTACTGACTAATAAACTATAAATATTCAAAGCAAAAGGTTTTAAATAAATCTTATTTATATTAAAAGTTCATTATTGCATTAGAAACGAGGTACAATCAATCCAAGTATAAGCATAAACCAATTGACGAACAAAAATATTTGGAAGCTGCGGAATGATATAAAACTCATTCGATAAAAAGACTGAGCCGGACCATATAAAATGATAACGGAAATCAAGATGAAAATATGTATTGAGATTGAGATTAGGTGTAGATTTAATAAAAATATCCTTTTCGCTGCTATGAAGGTTCCTCTTTCGAGTATAAAAGTTCCGTGGACATAAAAGAGGCTTCAATTAGTTTAATTTAAAGAAGAGCCGAATGTTATGGAAGGCCAGAAAATGCGTGATTAGGAGTTGATATAATAACCAACAATTTTCGTGATGCACTGCTCGAAAGAGAGTATTCGAATGAGCTTCGTTTTTTGTCAATTGCATAAAATTTTAACATAATGCATGCAAATTGCGTTTAATAAATTGTTATATTATTGAAGATAAATGGCAAAGAACGAAAACCTTCTGCTGAATTATAGCGAGCAAGTGTGTTTTGCCTTCTCAACATTCCTCTAGAAATTTATAATAAATTGATCGAAACATGTATCTAATAATGAACGGCCAACGGAATACCATTGGAAAATTTTCCACCATCACGTGGATGACAAGGTGGGTGATGGAAACTTTCTAATTTTCCAAAACTTTATTTTGCACGGTCTTAGTATTATTGCGGTTTGTTTATTTTATTTATTAAAAAATCTTTCGGCAAAAATGTGTAAATTTGATTGGAATGAGCATTGCAGCCAAACAGACATTGATTAATTTGCGTGTCCCTCAATAATAAACTTTCTAGGGTTTGATATGTTTGAGTTAATACCGTTCATTGATTATTTAATTTCTGATAACACTAAAAATTTTTACATTTTATATGAAGAATATGTTAACCAATGTAATAATAATATGTTGAAAACATGCCAGTACCACGCTGAAAACAAACGAAATTTATTTTCCGTATTAGTATTAGTGTGATCCCATATGTTTCCCGGGTATTTCCTATATTAATAATAAAAATATACGGAAAGGCAGGAAGACTCCGCACTGTATTTCAGTTTCTGTGCCAAGATTTTCTATATTGATAGGGAAGATCTCTCATACAATTAATTTATTGTCTTCATGTCCATTTAAAATAAAATTGAGGTTGTATTCAGGGAAAAGGGTCTTTGCTAAAAATTTTATATATTAATATAGAAATAAACAGTCGATCAAAAGATTGCTATATACATGCATGTCTTCCAAATCCATTGGTTATTATTATGGTACTGATCATCTAACAACATCAAATTTTAGGGATATCTTTAAGATTAAAAAGGGTTTAGGGTCTCACCAAACAAGATAACAACAATAATGAAAAATCTTTCTTGTCTTTAAAGAACAAACCAAACCAAAAAAGTAAAGGTCATTTTTTGTACTAAAAATTTTTATTCGATACTTCCATTTTAGGTAATTCTGGCCAAAATTATAAGAATTTTTAACAGAATATTTGATTTTGTAAAATAATCAGTATAGCTAGGGAAAAATATTTTTTTTGGATATATAATGATGCAATAAATCATTAGATGGGAAGAGGGAAATAGGCATTGACAGAATTATGAAATATAAAAAACAATCATATAATCAAGAACAAAAAAAGTAATAATATTAATTCAATTGATGATTAAAACAAAACTACCCTTTTTTTTTTATTTAAAAAAAATTTAAACCCTTGAAAATAATTAATTCGCAATTCATGACAAACGGAAAGGATCGAATAGTAAAATGCGGGTTTAATAATAAGCCAATTAATTAATTAATAGCCAGAATCCAGAATCTTTTTTTAATTGTAGAAATTTAAAATGACAAAACGTTTCAAATCTGGCTTCAGTAGGTGAAATAAAGCCACATTCACATTATGGGCTAAATGCAAGAGAGATAGATACAACTAAATTGAAGTCTTTGAAGCATTGTAATTTATTATCATTATAATTATCATATGTTTGCTTTAATATTATCAACCTTATCATTATTATATTAAAAGAATATAGTAGTTTATTGAAAATGATAAATATAACAGTTGATTTACAATGAGTTTTTGTTGAATAATATACTTAAAATTGTTCATTATTAAATATTAATATTAATTGGAGAATATTTATTTATTTATAATTAAATTTATTAAATTTATATAATATTTTTTTTTAATTAATTCTAGTTTATATTAATACTGCTATCAGTCAGTATACAACCATCATATACTACCATTAAAGGTATGTATGCAACATTGCATTAATTAATTTTTTTTTCCAGAAAGAATTGTTACGCGATAATTATTATTTATTATTATTTTAGAAGATACATTGGTAATTTGATTTACGTAAACGTTTGTCAAAGATGCAAACTTTTGATAAAATTGACTATTTTTGAAAAATTTTTTTTTTATCAATGATAGAAATTCAATATCCAAATATTCTATACTACTATTATTAAAAGGCATGTACACAGACAGCATTGCATTAATTAAATTTTTTCCTTTCCAAAAAAAATGGATTTATAGTAAATGATACGGCGTACAATTAGAAGGAATTGTTGCGTGACTATTATTATTAAATTCTTTCTTTGTATATTAATTATTATTTGGTATTAATAAAATAAAAATTGCTGAAAAGTAGAAATTATTATTCCCTTTATATAATTCTGTAATTGCGTAATTTCATGTGACTTTGTATAATAAAAAAAATTTTTTTTTTTTATAATGTGCAAACCACGAATTAATAATGTTAATATGTAAAGCTACCAAGTTAATAATTATATAGGTAGAGTAATATGAGGATGGTGGATAGTTGTGGCCATAAATCTTTTTTTTAAAAGTCCAATCGGCGCGCAGTGATATTGTAACATGCTGCGCGCCGAGTTAATATCATTGGACTGTATTTTGGATCTTGGGATTAACATTAGACAAAAGTATTATTGTTATTATATATTTATTTTATTTGTAATTGATGTTCTATCTATATATTTATAATATGTGTGTAATATAATCAAAAGCTAAATTCACACCAAAAAAAAATTTTATATCTATCCAATATATACACGGTGAATATATTCTTCATTTATTAACCTGGTAACCATTCTTTAAATTTGATAAAGTCTTAAGCATTATCTAAATCTTCAAAAGCTTTATCTAATTTATCTAATCTATATTTTTTCTACCAAATCCAAATGCTACCAATAACAGCCACAATAAACTACCAGAAAATACTGGAATGACTAAATTATCGTCTAATCCATAAACATCAACCAATTCACTAATTCCGCCAATCACACCAGTAAGTAATGATAATGTTAACAATCTATTAATACCACCATTACTACTATTACTATCACTGTCATTAATGGAAACATTGTAATTGAAGCTTGTTAAATCAGATGAAATATTATTCCAGAATATTAATCCAATTGTTGTACCAACTACAATTGCACCTAATGTTCCTGCTAGTGTTTTGCCAGTACTAAACTTATAAGTATATTTTCCATATTTCCTGCCAACAACTGAAGCTGCTGTATCGCACCATGACAATATCAATATTGATATAGCACTAATATCCTAATAATTTTTTTGGAGGAAGGAAGAAAAGGATAAGAATTTTAGTTAATGAATCAATTAAAAAATCAATTAGAAAGATCAATAATTAATTAATTAAAATTAAATTAATTAACAATTAATTACTTTTGGAAATAAAGATAACACCACCAAACATCCTGCAATATAATATATAACACCATTTATTTTTCCATGACTTTTTTCAGATTCTCTCATTAAAAATCCAAATAGCTTAACATACAAATTATTGAATGATGAGTTATTAAATCTTAATAATTCAATCAATGAAATGATAATCAACGATAGGAAAAGATAATCCCTAACAATGGTTGGATCTATTGATTTATTATTATATAATAAGAGAACTAAAAAGCCTATATATATATAAAATAAACATTAAAGAATTATTTAGAAAAGTAAAAAGTATTTTAATATAATCAATTAAATCAATTAATTAGCTGAATGAACAATTACCAATAGATGAATGTAATATTTTTCGTGGTATTTCCCAGTCTTTTTTTACAATGGTGTTGTTGTTGTTGTTATTGTTGTTATTATTAGTGTTATTAGTATTAGCATTGATTTTTTTTTTTAATTTTTTATTCGTAAATGGTTCATTATTATTATTAATAGTGTTGTTATTAATGGTATTATTATTCTTTTTGTTCTTTTTTCTTTTATGTGAACGATGAAGTACCATTATTTCTGTTTATTTATATTTATTCAATTTTTTCAGTTTACTTTTTTCGTAATAAAACTTAATTTTTAGAGAAGCATAAACAAATGTTATCAATTCGTGTAACATACCAACTTTTTAAAAAAAAAAATTTACGTATTATAATTTATTTCTACGTGTATATTAGTATTTTACATTATATTTATTTGTGTGGTAGGTAGGTATATGATGTATATGTATATATAGAGAGTGACTTCACACGCACAAGTATTATTAGGATTGAATTAAAAATATTAATACACCAACGTTATGGAGTGCAAAGCCACTCTATGCTTAAGTTCTTATAATAAAAATGTGTATATGCAAGTGTATTTAAAAGGCAAAATATTTTAAGAATTGAAAAAGAAATTTTGTTGTTGTTGATCCCATGGCGGATTGTCAATATTATCATTATCATTATCATTATTATAGTTAAATTGCGGATGATCTTGTGAAAATATCGTTGATTGTGGTGCTCCAATTGAAGTTTGTGACGTTGGTAATGATCTATCTTCTACCATAGGATCAACAACAACAGCATCATCATTCATTATTTCTTCCGGATCAAATAAAGATGTTATATGCATTAGTTTTTTATATTTATCATTGTTATTGTCGTCTCTTTCACCGGTGTCTATTATTTTATCATCTTCGATTTGATCTTGACTTCTTTTTTTATTGTTAATGTTGCTACCACCATTACCGTTACCAGAATTATTATTACATCCTCCACCCTCTCCTACATCACTATTGATGTCACCACCACCACCACCACCACCACCACCACCATTATTTTTACCTTTGTGTAATTCCAAAATTTGCATTAGCATTGGAAGCGATATAGAAAATTGGCCATTGACAATTTTCGAAACTTCTTCTAATTCTTTTGCCAGAATATCCGAATCATAATAAATAAGTTTTTCCGATCCAGCTTTAAACTCGGATAAAGTATCAGCCAGAGCTTGTTTTGCTTCTTGTGCATAATCAGATGATGCATTCATTATAAGTAATTCGATCCCCATGGATTTCAATAGACAAAAAAAAGGGTGACGGAAATAAGTAAATGCCATTTTATCATGTTTCCTTGTATACTTGAAAATATCTGTTATTGTAGTTGCAGCTGTTAGGCATGCTTCAATTGGCCCAATGTTGTTATAATTTTGATGTTTTATTGGTGACAATGATGATAAACTAGTATTTATGTAAGGTTGATGTAGTAGAATGATACAAGCATGAAACATAATATTAATATAACCGACGTAACTTGAAAAGTTATTTAATTGTAAGAAACTTCTTGGATCAGTATTTGGTAAATATTGATATTGCAAATCATCAGGTAACTCTTTCAAGCATTTAGCCAGCGAAGATCTCAATTGTCTCAATGTGCTTTTCGAGTCAGTAATATGTGATTGCCAACTTTGATAATTGGCTTTTGGTCGAACTGAATAACCAAATTTCCATATTTCACCTAAAATTCGTGACAGTTTTATGAATGATATGAAAAAATCCTTTGATTTACGATCAAAGTTTGGCATAGTTGGAAAGGGTACATCTATGTCGCTGTCATCTAATGAATATGGTTTTCCAAGGACGAATGACATCCATCTGTTGTAAGTATATACACAATAAAATACCCTGGACCTTTCCTCCTTTTCTTCCATTGTTAACGAATTATCTACTCGTACAAGTCCTAATGAATTCGTCATTTGAACTAATCATATATATGTAAAATAATGAAAAAAAGTTGAGCGTGTGACTAATGTTTGTTGTTATGATGTGTAAAAAAATAAACAAACCACATACCAGCCATTCCTAAAAACATAAAAGCACTATCAAGTCGTGAAAAACTACTTTCAGCTTGTAATAAAAGCAACAATGCTTGAATTGTTTCCAATCTAGGATCGTCATATAATGAATCAAGAAGTTCCTGTAACAACAACAATATTGATGTTAAAATAATAAGTAATGAGTTATATTATTATATTAATAAATTTTTTAAAAAAAAGCACCTTTGCAGCATCAAAAAATACACCACCAGGCTTATTCTTTGACTTTTGTATAGATATATCATCGCCACTCGGTAGCCTTGCGGCAGAAATTGCCAATATTGAATTAATTAATAGCAGAGAATGTTTAGTCTTCTCTTTCCAAGTTTCATTAAATCTTTTTATATCAACTACCGGTATCATTGGATTTAATTTTTCAAAATAATCTCGTATTAATCTTTGACATAATTCTTCAGATGGCGGAGGTGGTGGATGTGGTGATGAGTTTGAGTCCGGTAATGATGAAGAGGTTGATGACGGTGAACAATATGATGATGATGACGATGGTGATGGTGGTGAAGATGATGATGCTGGCGAATTATTAATATTTAAAGACATTTTATTTAATTTATTTACTAAATCTACAACAGTATTCGGATAAGTATGGTTAAACATTCCTAGTAACGGTGATTTATATAAATCTTCATGTTCAGAATTATTTAATGGTGGTACTGTTAAAGCTGGGAAATCAAGAGTAATTGAATTTTTATTATTATTATTTGCTTTGTCAACTTTGATATTGTTGTTATTATTGTTTTGATCGTTTGGTTTTAATAAAAAATTTTCAAGAATTAAATTAACATTTTTTTCAATTCCTTCTAAATCTTTTTTTGTTAATGGTTGTACTTCGCATTGCTGTAGTTGTGAAAGGGGAGAAGAAAAAGCAGAGATCTGTGATGATGGTAATGGTGATAAATTATTCCAATCAATCGAAGTTGTTAAAAGTTGTTGTTGTTGTTGTTGCTGTTGTTGTCGTCGTCGTTGTTGTTGTTGTTGTAAGGATGAGGTTGGATTATGATTAAGATGTAGATGAATTTGTTGTTGGAGTTGTTGAAGTTGTTGAAGTTGAAATTGTTGAAGTTGATACGGTTGCTGATATTGATGGTTATGAAGATGAGGAGGAAAATTTGGAATTTGGAATTGTTTTGGAATAAATTGTCGTTGACTCGATAAATTTTGTGAACTGACATTATTATTATTATTGTTGTTATTAATTGATGAGGATGGATTTAAAGGTAGCATCGTTGCAATCTTTCTTATTTTAGTAATTTATAACTAAATAAACTTAAATATAAAGTAAAAAAAAAATAATGTTATATATATTAGTTTAACTTAATTGAACCCTGAAAAAACTATATATACATATATATACTTTTTTTTTTCCTTAAGGAACAAAAAATGAAAAATAAAAGTCGGTGTGAATTTTTATACCAGAAACAAAATAGTTAATTAGGTTGTCTGTATTTGGGTTATTTTTAAACCACAATAACAATAGAAATTTATTCGTTAATTGATTTGTTATTTTCATATTGAATGAATCATTTCTTTCTACTTGGATAAAAAACCTGTTTCTTATGCATAAATGATAATGAATAAACAAAGCTGCACAAACAAATCCATTGATTATCAGTGAAAATTAACAAATATTGATTTTTAAAGAGGGAAAATGACCAAAAATAGGTGATCACATCATTTCTTGAATGTAAAACTTTCAGTCGTAATTTTATATTAATCCATTTAAAAAACCATCTCTGAATAAAGCACTCGTGGAGTTTTTCTACCAATCCAACTTGCGTAATGTAATCTTTTTCGTTATTGAATTTCTTGATCGAAAGGAAGTCAATGTAACACGAATTGTTTTTGTGAGAGTGGTAGCACCATGCTAATCCTGTAAATGATATATATTCATTTTAAAAAGCGTCAAACCTAAACTAACTATTCGGATCATTGCCCCATAGAAGAAAATCCCAACTCTAAAAAAAAAAAACGATTCAAGAACAATTCTCGTCAAACGTTGCTTTTTTGTGAAGATGATGCTATTTTAAATTTTTGTTGATCCGTAATTGTCCTTCTTAACAAATGATCATTGCCGTAATGCCATAATTAGTTTTTCATAGTCACCGTAATTTTTTGAACTCTTTAGGTCATATTGCATATTCATATATAGTTATTTGTCGTAGTCGCTTTTCCTTCAATGACAATTATAGCAACAGCAATATTTCAAATGTACCAATAGGAAAGACTAAGATAAATTACTTTTTTGTAAACTTTCTAGAAGTGGAAATGGGGCTACAAGATTTGCAGAGGGTAGAAAAGTTATGAATGTAAGAAATCACCATTAATACTTCAATGAATTTAGTAGCGGTGACGTAGAAGATCATTAAAATTGTCAACTGTTTCGTTAATGAGAAATGTTTGTTTCATCTAATACTAAACACAGTTTTTCCGTAATTTGTAATACGTAGTAATAGTAATTATTTTGTAATGTGCAAAAATGTGCACCGAAATTTTGGTCTTATACTATTACTATAATACTAATACTAATACCAAAAGTCATACAACTCTTTCCGTATGCAAAGTCCACACATTCAAAATATTCTTATTATGCTCTTAAACATACTTAAATTTAAGTGTGATTTAAGTGTGATCTAAGTATAGATTGAAGTATAAATTTAAGTATGTCTTTAATAAATTAAATATATATTTTAAAAAGAGACATTTTTTAAATTTTGAATATAAATTTTTTTATTAACATCAAATTTTAGTAATGATAATAACAACAATAATAATAAAATAACAATAATGACTCTTTTTGATTGTATGTATGTACGTACACCATTAATTACTGAAAAAGAAATGCAATGTTGCATAATAACTTAGTATATTTATTTATAGTAAAATATTTTGATGCTCGCGTAAATGATTCTTTCTGATTGTACACCATTAAACAGTTTAATTATGTAGGTACGGTTCTTTTGGAAAAATAATTAATTAATAATGATTATTAATTTAATGGTCGCGTAACGATTATTTCAGGTTGTTTGTTTAATCATGTATCCATTTTTTTTAAATGCATTTTGCATACATATCATTTAATATTAATAGCAGTAATACCAACTAGAATATTTTGATGTTGCTTATAGTTGGTTATTTTTTTCTTTATATAGTCGTGTAAATATAGATCTGTTTTATTTTTGAAGAAAGAAACTATAAACAAAATAAATAACAATAATAACATCCAGATAATTATAATTTAATTACTAAATTGCGATTCTCCAAAGGCTTCAATTGGTGTGAATCAGTCTAGTTGTAGCTGAATAATATTGGTTGTTTTCAATTGATAACTAAATTTATTATTTAACGACTTAATTTATTTCTATATTCAAAACACCTATCTCTTCAAAGATTATTTTTCTTCGAGTATATAGTTGTTTTCAAGTAGTAATAATAGTAAATCCAGTGCAGGGTTGTGCCACATAGATAAATTTGTATTATGTAACAATATATTGTTGGCTGATACAATAATAATAATATTGTTAGAGGACCGGAAAAACTCTATTGCCAAATTAAGTACAAACCAATCTTAATTATGCGAATCAATTTAAAAACAATATAAGGAATAGGACCGGTGTAACATACTTACATGGTTAAAGAAGCAATTTTAGTCGATAAATAAAAAAACAAATTTTATTTATTATTGACATTAAATCAGAGGTGAGATAATAATAATAGCAATGGTAATGATAATGATGGTGAATAGTGCAAGTCACTACTTTCTGCGCCACATCAATTACTCGATCAGGTGGTAAACTTTAAAGTTGAGAAGGCGATCATTCCTGCTTGCATTTGTAGGTTTGGATTTGCACTTTTGTAACATACATAAAGAAGATCTTCCATGCATCACAGAATTAGAAACATTCACACCAATAACATGAAGATCCATCACTACCAAATATTTGTTATTTTGTTCTTGAGGGATTTTATACTTTTTAATTTTTATAATTATCTTTTATCCCCATTAAAAATTGTAATCATAATCACAAAAGATGTTCAATTAAAAACCTTTTCTCTTTGTTTTTGTTTTGCATACTGAAAAAATTATTATTATTCATTATTGTATGAAAATGTTTATTGTGAATGAGAATTGAAGAAATAATGTATAGAAAATAACTTATGCTACAAATATAGTAAAATAATTTTAATAATAATTGTCTTTTTTTATTTTTAACTTTTACCAATTACTTGAAAAACCTCTAATTCGTCAAATATACTACTCCTCACTATATTGATGTTATTATAGGCGGATATAATGCCAGAAATACGATTATTTTTATTAAACAAAAGGTCAGGGTAGCCAAAACTAGGCAAAAAATAAGAAGTACAATAGATTGCAATTCTATCATTAATGACATAACTGAAATGTGTAGTGGTGGTAATATCATTTTTATTGCTAATATTAAATATAAAACTTTCTGTTGTATTTTTAAATTCATGTCCATTCCAATTAAATGGATTATAACCACCAACTATTTGTTCTGAATTTTGTATCTTACCAATTGCAAGGGTTCTGTTGACATTATCACATTTTTGATGAAATATAGCTGCATCTAAACCATCTCTACTACTTCGATATAAAAGCTTGAATTTATATTTAACTTCTCTTAGTAGAGCATATGGTGGAGATTTTCTATCAATCCAACTCGCAAAAAGTAATGTGATCTTTTCATTTACAACTATTGAATTTCTTGGTGGCAATAAATTTGAAGCTAATTGTTCGTCAAGAACCCCATAAAGATGATAATGTAAAATGCCTTTCCACAAAACCATAGAAAAAATCTTTTTATATGGCATAATTTTGGAAAGAAAATCTTCGTTAGCAACATCTTGGAATCTAATTAATGGAATGATATCTTGTAGTATTTTTTTTAACTCTTTATAATCATTTTCATTCCAGTCTAAAATTTTTTTTTTCTCTAAACTTTTAATTTGCCCAATTCCCCATTGAATAACAGAATCCCAAATAAATATTTCTTTTGAATTTAAATCATCTCTTTCTAAAATAGATATAAACATGGGTTTTTCAATGCCTTTTAAATCATTGGATTTTAGAAATAATTCTGGATTATTATAAATTAATTTTTCAAAATAATTTCGAAGTAAATTGAATGATGATTGATGTCTTGATGAGATTTGATAAAGATAATTTAAATCCTGTTGAATCCATTCTTTGTCTCTTGCAATTAAACGATTTTGTAAATCATCTATTAAATCATTAAAGTTTAATTCATCACATGCTTCAAGAAGTTCAACGATTTCATAAAAATCCAGATTATTTATGTCAACAGTTCCATCATAAATATAACTTTTTTTTAAATAAAAACAATTTCATTTTTAGCATCATAGTCAATTTATTATTAATTTATATTAAATAATAGCCTTACGTTAAAAGAACTTCAAATATTTTTGGAGATATGTTATTTTTTTTAAAGAGAATAATACCGCTTTCAGATCTATTCACCCAGTTATTAGATAGAGCTGCTTTAAAGTATGAAGACCTTTCTCTTAAAATGTTCGAATGAGCCTTGAAAATTTTAATATTATTGTGGTCTTCACCAACTTTGATTTCTACGTCACAAAAATCTGATTCATTTAATAGATTATTTACAAATTTTCTGATATGGTTTGATGGCGAAGCATTCATGTTGAAAATAATAAGCTTGTTTTGTTGATGAAAAAATTATAAATATTGATCGACAAAATCTTTATTATATATTAGGTTTTATGATTTATTATATGCATTTTCAATATAAACAAACTCTCAAATTGATTAAAGAAAATTGTCTTTACATAAACTGTTATAACAAAGTTTTTTAATTCTAAAACGTTTTGAGCTCGTGAAACATGTATCTAAAACACGAAAGCGCCATATTTTTTCTAGAGCTATTTTGCTTCAAAAGTTCTGAAATTTTAAGATTTGATTAATATACATCATAAAATTTACCATTGAATGCTCAATCAATTCACAATTTCTTCTTTTAATATACTCTCTTTTATTAAGCTCATTGTGACTGTTTATTTTTCTTCTAAGCTTTAAAAGGAAAAAGAAAAGTGCAAATTTGAATCATTGTGTTATTTATAATTACTTTGTTCTCAA